GCGCCAGTCAGTTTGATAACACTTGCCTGTTAATATATGTATTGTCTGACATGGTGTGAGAGTCTTAGCTCCTAAAATAGCAACATGGAGAAAACTGACACCCTAGAAGCACCCTTTAGGAGAGCCAGGCTCCTGAATGTCATTCTTTGTCACCCCTCCAATGAGGTATGCTTATAAGTTTTTATCCTACAAGGAAGCATTGATTATTGAACAAGAATCTTGTCATGCCTGCAACCTTTTTCATGATGAATTTCCTTTCAGGTATTTACAAAGCCACCTTGAACCGTGGCAATTCCTCTCTGGATTGCTTCTCCCCAACCCGCAACGGTATTTGAACTATGAGGCTGTGTTTTTAGTGGAATTTGACATGAACGAGGAGAACAAATGTAGACATTTACGAAAACAGGACAGTGCATGGATTTCCTGTTAGACTACTGAAGAACAAATATGTGCTAGACACAAGAAGAGAAGGTGCACTATAAATACTATTAGCATCAAAAATGAGATCCATTCTCATTCTTAACACAAGACAAGTTCTGTGGGCAAATTCATAATAAACACACAAATCATTGCAGAATATACTTTCAGAGCTATGGAGGCTATAAATAACTCGTGGCTTCAGTATCTGTCTGGAAAAAGAGCGCTAAGCTACTATATTAAAGGCGATTTGGGATGGCCTCATTTCCCATCTGTTTATTACTTTTGCTGTATTCTTAGCAATCATGAATGTTTCATGTGTTAAAATGAAGATTCATTAAAAAAAAAAAACAATTGTTTTCGTATTAAATTGCATCTCTGCTACAGTCCCAGGATTTACTTGTTTGGCCAAATATAAGCAGAACATGGATACTCACTGGGCTTCACCACTAGCTGCGTTCCATCGCCAAAGAAGAGTCTGTTATTATTATTCCCACAGCCTTTCTTGCCTTTACTGAAACCCTTCGCAAGACCCAGTCAAATACAAAGCATCCCGGAGAGCAGGCAGTTAGACTTGTTATACTTTTTTGTTTTACTTCCATGTTTCTGGAAATTGGCCTTTTATCACAGGGAGAAAAAGAGCGCTTCTGCCATACAAAGCTAACCGTTTCTCCTTTATAAAGAACAGACTTACAAGCTCTTATGACTCTCCCACCCCAGGATCTCTGAGCTGAAATCTACCCAAACTGAGTCAAATACTTTGTTAACAATTTTGTCCCTTGTGTGGGCTCAGCCTCAGATATGAGGTGCATTTTTAGAAGAAAAAGCAATATATGAAGGTCTGAGGAGGCAAATGCCTGGATAAGCGGATGATACAGATTGTAGAAATGAACAAACAGGAATGTTATATTCCTGTATCCACAGGGAAACCAGCTGAGCTCTCCTCCAAACTTGACCTAGTCTTCATGATCCTGTCCGTAATTACTTACTTATTTTGGAGCCTTCTCAGTATATCGGAACGCTTAAGTAATTGCCTAGACATTTTCTGAAGACATTCCACCATGGGCTGCTTTGTGGTTTCAGTCAGAAAGAGTTGGGAGTGAAGACTCACAAGTTCTCACAACCTTAGGAAGACTCAGGCCTGAAAGAAGTGAGCATCTTCCGTGATGGAAGTTTGGATAAGCAAAAACAAGGGTGCCAAGAACTCATCTATCTCAAACTTGTACTTCAGCTGGGTTTTAATGTGCATGAAGTCATTTTATTAAAGGGAGAAGGTGAGCAGACCAGGTTGGGACAGCAGGGCCCTGACTTTCTTTGTTAGAAGTAGGGCTTCACTGATAGCATTTAAAGTTTGAAGAGAGGGTGACTTTATCCCATCCCTGGGTATCTGTGATGTTGATTCATCAGATTTGATGACAAGTTCAGGAAAGATTTTATTGATCCCTTTCTTGCTAGAGAGAAACAGGGGTCCAGAATAAAGAGAAAGGACTTTTTCCAGGAAGAGTGGAAAGGGAGCAAAGGCAGATAGCATTAGCTGCATCACACTTCAAATATGGAGTTAACTTTTGTTTTCCCTCCACTACCAGTAATCTCATCAATGACTCTGGAGTTTCTATTGGAAGAAGGAGGAGGAGGAGAAGGAGAAGGAAGAAGAGGAGGAGGAAGAAGAGGAGGAGGAGGAGGAGAAAGAAGAAGAAGAGGAGGAAGAAGAGGAGGAGGAGGAGAAGGAGAAGGAGAAGGAGAAGGAGAAGGAGAAGGAGAAGGAGAAGGAGAAGGAGAAGAAGGAGAAGAGATCTAGCTTAAGGAAGCTGATACAGAATTGTATAAACAGCTCCACAGAGAGGTTGCTCTGCACAGGGTGACCACAGCTGATGAGTGTCTAGAGAGCAGAACTGAGGAGCAGGCACCCTGCAGCATGCGGAGGTCACAAGCTTCCCACAATAGATTCCCTCCTCTTCCTAGGGTTTATCTTAAAATTAGCCCAATTTCCACTTTCCTCTTCCCTGACTGAAGTTGCCATTCAGAAGAGTGGGGGATTTTTGAGAGTCCTGTGTCTTGGAATGTTGTGACAGACAAAGGAGGACATAGCAGGGAACAAAGTCAGCCTCAGCTCTCCTCAGAAAACATGGTTGCTACTTCCCATTTGCCACGGGCATGATCTCGCACACAGACCCTATTACTCACGTACTTGGCTTGACAGAAAGCAGGGTGCCAGTCCCAAAAATGAGCTTGTTGCCACTGCTCCCATAATTCACACAGCCCTGCAGAGCCTTACAATAACTCTGAGGAAGGGCCATGGGAGATGGGGTGAGGATAGCATTGTGTCCTTTTTATGTAAAGAGTATCTTAGTACCACTGTGGCAGAAGTCAAGAACCAGGAGCCCTTTAACCTTCATATTCTAGTAAAACTGCCTTTTAATTGGTGTCTTTATGGGATTTGGGCTATAGCCCCAAAGCCCAAGGTATCAGCTAGAGATCAAAAAGGTTTGTAGGCATCTGCTCTCATACACTGGGAAAGATACAGCCACATGACTTTATAATCTACCTTTCCTCTCTCTCTCTCTCTCTCTCTCTCTCTCTCTCTCTCTCTCTCTCTCTCTCTCTCTCTCATTTTTTTCCAGTGGGATGGGCTGTCTTATCTTTGGGAAAGAATTCTAAACATACCAGAGGGAATTAGACATCCTCTCTTTACTTGGCTCTGCTATTTTAGAAGGCCAGTCAAGCATTATTCATTCTGGAAGCAGCTATATTAAACACGAGAGTTGGTGGCTGACATCGCCTTTCTCTGGGAGCAAGGACCCCATCGGGCTGAGTGCATTGTCTCCAGCAGGCTGGATTGTTCTTAAAAATACAATTTGCATGCTATACTTCATGCATTATTCAGCCAGTGCCTTCTTCCTTACTGTCATATATCGGAGACTTACCTGGCTTTATAATTAGCTTGGTCCCAGAGCCCCAGATCAACTGATAGTTGCTATCCACACAGACACAAAAACCTTAACAAAAACATTCACTGTCCTTCTGGGGAGCCTATTAGAGATAAAGCCCTGATTTAAAAAAAAAACAAAAACCTCCAGAGCAAAGCACATAAAACAATGTAGAAATATTGATGATTGAAGATTATTTGTTCATTTAATTACATCTGATTCCCTTGCCCATTATGGATTCCAGACACAGATGACAAAATCAAATGACTAACCATCCAAAGTCAGCCTCAGCCTTTCTGCATATAAGGGAGGCAAGAGCTGTTTTCAAATTAGAGAAGTGGAGTTCACTTTATCTTCCCTGATATTCTACATAAAAATGGAAACGAGTAATAGATCATTCTCTTGGCATCCTGAGGCAGCTGACTCTCTCGTGTCTCATTTTCTGAGGAACTGTGCTCTCATACAGATGAAAAGGATTGTTTACAGAAGGTTGAACCTGGGAGAAAGATACCCTGCTCTCCCATGGACACAATAGCTAGAGGCATGGAGGGTAGCTGCAGAACGCAGTACTAGAAAGGAAGGCCCTGACATACCTGTTAAAGCTGGGGATTTATGGAAAACACCTTTTCAAATTGCTTCACGGTCTCAGAACTTACTTGGTGAGACTTTTAATCTGGTCCCTGTCCCAAAGATGAGTTTGTCAGTACTGGAGGACACAGTGATACCATGTTCTACAAAAACCCCTGACCCCTCTGCTCCTTCTGTTTCTGGTACCAAATGACTACCAGGAGCAGAAATTTGTGGTACAGTAAAGCTCTGAATGCTAAGTTTCATCTCTTGAAAATGCCTATGGCTTGTACTTTTCATGTTTCCAATTAACAAACCAACAGCTGGAGATGACTCCCTGTGTGACAATAGCTTAGCTCAAGCCCTGAGCCCAGTTCTGAGGTTTTTGGTTTTTGTTTTTGTTTGGCTTGACTTGACTTAAATTACGTAACTCCTCTGCTCATCAACTTTTCTGCCTGTGAAATACGTTTGATAACACGTGATCCTTTTGACTTTATTAGAGAAAGTGTGGAGATCAGGGTTACTGCTGGAGCAGTGGGTTATAGCATTGCCAGGGGTTAATGCATTTTGAATAATGTGGGGGTAAGATGTGACTGTTCAAGTCATGGTACTATTAATCTGAATAACTGGGACTATGTTGGCAGAAATGTGTTGTCAAAGCTGCTAACACACACACACACACACACACACACACACACACACACAAAACCTTAACTAGGGAGAAATAAGGGAGAATTCGTCTGTCATATGTATTTTTCACAATAAAGTTGGTAGACATAACCACTTCATCTTCCAGAAAAGCTAGGCTTGGAAAAAGGCCACCAAATTCTGAGGTCTAATGATGAGAGAGAAGACAGGACTATCCTCACAGCAGCGATGAGCATAAATTAGGTCCCTGGATAGGTTAGCCCCCTTGGCAGTTGGCAACATTAAAAGGAATCGGTCTAAGTTATTTTAAAAAATTTGACCTTTTTAATGGTTAAACTGGCAGTGTCTGTAGACCCAGAAATTGTATCCTACCAGAGAATATCTGGGGTTGGAAAGAACGGTATTACTGTAAACCCAGGGAACAAGAGAAGGCACACTTACATGGTAGAACAATCACTTTTGTGCCAGGTCCAAATTTCAGCACATTCGAAAAGCCTGTCTGCCACAGTGACTGATTCTAAAACAAAAACCTCTTCAGAGCCACACATGGTTCAAGATGGAAGCTAAAGCTTTTTAGGCCTGAGAGAAGATTCAGACATATGTATCACGAAAGAGATGCTATTCCTTATTCCTGAGGCTTTTCCTCATCCTGACTCCACTCCAGTCTTCAGTAACCACCTAGGAACTAGGACACAGCCTGCATATCTTTAGGGTCTCTGCTGAAGGATCACTAAAGAGGACCCCAGGTCCCCAGCCATCTGAGGATCACTCAGGGGGCTAAGAAACTGCTCAGAAATACAGCAGGCCGGCCAAAGAGTCAGGCCGTGGTACATGCTTGGGTGGTGACTAGGTGTGGTAGATAGGAATTCAGAAGAGAAAGAAAAGAGGATTATATAGGTGCTAGAGATGAAGAGAGCAGGGGTTGGGATAGGAGAGTGTGGGGACCAGACAGTAGACCCACTAAGTGCTGAAGCCTAACTCTGCTTTGTGTACATGTGAATTCCTAGCTGTCAGTTGTTCTTAGATTCTTCCTTCTGAGTAAGTTCTCAGTGCAGCCGAGAAACCCATACCACAGATGCGACCACCTCCCATCTTGCTCCTGTGTTACTTAGGTGTCTGACTAAGTGTTCTAGATGAGTGGCTTGGAACTGCAGCCACAAAAAGACTCTGAATCTGTTTCTCTCTTCCTAATTAGGCTGTCAATCTGTTTAGCTAATAAGTCGTATAAAGTGCTTTAATCTCTTCCACGGAAAAGAGTCATATAAATGCAAAATAGCGGCAGCGATAAGTCACGTGACTCTCTGCATATCCTTTCTTTGTGTGAAGAGATGCTATTTGGAAGGAAACCTTTCTGTGAGGATAGGCGGAGCGGGGGAAAGCACAGCAGCATTTGTTTTTATTAGGCTGAGTCTATACAGCACAAAGTAAAACAGATTTGGCAATTATGTAGGTAATGTGACAGTCAATTCAAGCAAAGTGAGCCCAAAGAAGTTTGCTCAGAGAGGTGCCTAAATATTTGGATCAGCTACTGGCATTAATCAAATTAAGTGGACCTTGGTGGTGTACGGACACAACAAGCTAATGAATGTTTCCTGGTTTGGTTCTTATAAACTTAATGTTAGAACTGGCTAGAAATTTATACCTGTTCTCCTTAGCTTCGAAGTGCAGTTGACATTTCTCACTTAGTCTTAGAATACCTATCTTACATTAGAACTGCAGAGGTAAAAGTGACCTTCTCTCCAGGGAGTCTTATCAGGTGAGCACATGGAATCTCATTTAGAAGCTCATTAGTTGTGAGAGCCCATTACAGACGAAGGGCTTTTTCTCAAGTGGTAAAGGACTTACGAGGAATAATGGTTAGTCTTGTTCTAGTCCCAAAGACGAGGTGTTTTTTGTTCAGATGTTGGCATAGTGTTTCTGCCCAGTTCAAAAGCTTCTCTTACTTTGCTAAATGTGCTCCATTACCCTCTATAGCAGTGATCCTCAGCCTGTGGGGCTGAGCACCTTTGGGGGTTCAATCACCCTTTTCCAGGGGTTCCATGTCAGATATCCTGCACATCAGATATTTACATTACAATGTATAACCGTAGAATAATTACAGTTATGAAGTAGCAACAAAATAACTTTATGGTTGAGGGGGTTACAACATTAGGAAGGATGAGAACCACTGCTCTAGAGTTCCCTTCAGGAACATGTTATACACATTTGGATCCCTACTTATTCAAAACCACTTAGTTAATATGTGCTGTATTATGTTTCTTTTAATGATGACGACGACAACAACAAAAACAACAGCAACAACAACAACAACAATCCAACCACAAACAGCCCCCTGGTCGCTCAGTGGAAAGCCAGACAGTTTTCCCACTATTTCTCTTTGTAGGGCAGACCATGCTTGAAGAACTTTGGAGGCAACAGTGCTGGCTTTTACTTTAGAATACTATTATGATAAAAAAAACAAAACAAGTCCTTCTTTTCTGCGAACCAGGCAAACTTATATCCTCTCTACCTTAGCTAGATGTCTCAGACCCAGTTCACTGCAAACCCTCCCTCCCTTGGCCATGAGCCCAAACCGAACAGGCAGAGGAGGTCTTGTTATTTACTTCACAGACTCCACTTCATAAAAGGAAAAGAAAGCCTGAAGCCAAGAGTTTCTACTTAGAAGTAGGAAAGACAAAGACGACTAGTAAAAAAAAAAAAAAAAAAAAAACAAAAACAAAAACCGAGCGTAAGCTACAGCTGTGGTCCACGTGGGAATGTTCAGACCTACCTGATTGCACTTGTAAAGTCGTCCCTAGTCCAAAGATGAGTTTCCCAGTATTGCTTGTTGCACCTCAGTGCTGCACTTTACAAAAACTGTCACGAGGGCTTATTTTTATTTTTCCTTCCTTTTCTCTAGCAGTCAAATCTAGCCTTAGTGAAAAGATAAACAAGGTTCTTACTGTATGCTCAGCCCTGTAAAAACACCTGGAAGCTATTAGCCGTTAACCTCAGGACATCTTAGTAAGCTGGTTAGCATCGTCACTCCCACTTTACAGTTGGAGAAAATGAGGCATAAAGAGAGTGATAACCTAGTTGTGCACAGTGAAAGGGGAAATGGGCACCCAGATGGTCCTGAACATTCCTGGAGGGAATGGCTCCCTCAGGAAGGACCAGAGCTAGAGTGAAATCAACTTTTCCTATGTTACTTCTAGCAAGTCGCAGGAAGGCTCCAGGTCACAGAGAACACAGAGCTGTAAGGTTCCATGGGGAACCTTTGATGGGGAAGTATTCCCTTGCATGGTCACTGACTTAGAGATGACCCCAAGTCCTGAGGATTAATCCCAAGAAGCACTTGGCCTGCCGAGAAAGTATTTACCAATAGCCAGTGTAGAGGGCAGTGTGGTAGGAAATAAAAAAGCCGTGGAACAGGACGTACAGTCTAATATTCCCTAACAGTCAGTACTTCCTGGCAGCCCTTCTGGAGTGTGAGAGCCTAGTTTCCCTGTTTAAAAAAGGGGGGGGGGCTCATACTCCAACTACCTTCCTACCACGGCCTTCTTGATTCCTCCGTCTAGTTATTTTGATTAAGCAATCAGCAAGAAGCCAGCTTCAGAGGCCAGGAGAGAAATATTAGCTATAAATGGACATTTTAAACATTGTGAGTGGAAAAGGAGGTGTTTCTGGGATTTTCAAACTGTATAGACAGTTAACATGGAGACTTACTTGGATTTACTGCCAGTCTTGTCCCCAAACCCCAAATCAGCTTACTGTTGCCACCGACATTACACAGTTATAGAGAGCTTTACAGAAATGGAGCAGCCAATGAGGGCCAGGAAATCCCTTTCAATCCCCAAATCCCACTGGCATGCTCCTTCAACTGGGACCTTGGCCAAGGAGGCAGTGGGAAAGACAGTTTATTAGTATGGATAGTTCAGGGTATGGACAGGGTAGAAGGGCTCAGCTGAGAGTAAGCACTATCTCTCTACCTCCAGACCTAGCTGCCCTCTCACCAGCACAGCAGGGAGAGGTGCTGCCCAGACACCACTGCTGCTTCAGAATCCCCTGACTCCAGTGCTCACGCTTCCCAGTGTTGAACAGTCTTTAGGTTCTGAAGGGCAGAGATAAAAAAGGACGAGGAATCTAATTTCTGCAGTGTCCATGTTCCCACAATCACACACGTGTCCATCTTCACACACTCAAGTCATGTTTATACCACACCATCTTTAGATTAATAGAAAAATAAAACAGTAGAGAAAGCAGAAAACCGAGGCTAATGCTATGGTTCTTTTTGAAATTAGAGCGCTCGTTATTGATTCAGTAGAGATACTCACGGGGTTTGACCATTAACCTTGTTCCCCCTCCAAATGTGAGCTTGGCACCTGCATTATTATTCACACAGTGATCTTCAGCTCAGCAAAAACCTCCTAGAAACTGAACTAAGTTTTCCCTAAAGATCTTCTGGAAGGAGCGATGCTGCGAACATAGAGAATATTAAGTAATTGTCACAGTAATAAGCTGGCACAGAATCTGAGTACCAGCTTGGATTTCAGGTCTGTTTCTACATTGGACAAATGAAGGGTATTCTTTCTAACTATTCCAAAGAAGGCATTTTCATGCACAGGGCCAGAACACTGACTGTCAAAATCCCAGCACATCCTTAGTATTTTAGATAATAATTCTCCAGGGTTCTCAAAATCACATACTTCATTTGAACAAATTGCAAACAGTTTATGTCCATGGTACCTAAGCAAAACTCATCAGGGAGATTGTCCTCAAAGAGAGAGGGCTTGAAGGAAACTGTCATTGTCTCCTTGGCAAGAAAGGTCAGAGTACTGTTCCACATTCTAAGGGTAGGGCCAGGTACTTCAGGCCATAGTCCAAAGCCCAGCTCCTGGCACATCTAAGGGGTGGCTTACTTCTTCAGCACCCAGAGGAGAGATAGTCACACACACTTCTCTGTCTTGCAGTTTGCCACGTCCCAGATATTTTTGGTCCTCTACTTAGGTGGTCATCAGAAAAAGGACTTTCCACCTTTTATGATTTTTGTCCTAGGGAAGACTTCTCCCAGCAGATAGCACAACTTAGCATGAAATCATTCCCTTATGATTAAGAGGGTAATTTCTTTCATTCTTTCTAAGTGCCCCATCCCCTGCCCAGAGAGAGGACGAGTAAGTACTCTTTCAATTTTAACATAATCTGAAGGAGAATTTTAGCCAAAAGCTCCATAGTACAACTATGTGTGTCAGTATGGCTTCCTCTGCCTTCTTCATCATGGGTCACTCTGAGCATTAGGTGCTTAACAACTGACAATCAGAAGTGGACATCTCTCTCTGTCTCTGTCTCTGTCTCTGTCTCTGTCTCTCTCTCTCTGTGTGTCTGTGTGTGTGCACATCCGCGCATGCATGCATGTGCATGCATGTGTAAGAATCATACAAGTAATACAGCAACTCATCAATTTCCAGTTGAATTTAGCCAGGGACCATCTTCCCATGAACCCCTCTCCACCCTGCCCC